CCATGCTTTGCATCTAACAAGGAAAAATTTTGTTAATCAATCACAAAGAAAGAGAGCATCAGTTCCTAAAGAGTTACTTGATAGGAGACATTCAAGTGTTCTGAACTTCTCCAGCATCATTTTCCCACTAAAGGCTCACAGTAGCTAGAGACTTGAGCTGGCTTCTCTATGCTGCCAGTGATGGTGCATCTGTCCCTGGGTGTTTGGAAACCAGCTGCTGATTTGCATGCACTGGCCCTTTGCTGTTTGCCCAACCATGCTAAGTAGTTTTTGGCGTGGGAGTGTGAACAATTCTGTCTGCCTTGCAGAAAGCAGGGATAAATGAGAGGTCTGTCTTTAGCCCCTTCTCACACCATCATCCTGCCTGCCAGGGGGAGGATGGAGAGCATAGCTGAAGTGGAACAAAAAGTGAGACAGAACTTGCTGTGAATGCTGTTTTCCATGTGCGTGCTGTCCTGTGCCTGTGTCCTCATCTCGAAACTAAAGCAGAGCAGCAGCTCTCGGTGGCACAGTGCATCACATTTTGCTTTGGATCTGTGTCCTCAGATTGTTCCAAAATGAGTCAAGGTGAGACCAGCCTGTGGTACTTTATACTTCACATTTTAGGTGTATCTGTTGCATTCACTGAACACAGCAACTCATACTGTAAAATGCATACTCTGTCTTCCAAACCAAAGAAGGGGTTGCTGAGTGCAAGTGCTTTGCATGATTTAAGATTGGCTACATCTGTTCAAAAAACAAAGTTGTAAGCCTACCAGAAGTCTGTGGTCAGGTGAAGATATTGCTGGCTGTGTAGTTCTAAGTGCAGAGGTTATACTGCCTGAGCAGAGCACTCTGTTTTTCTGTCCTCAAAGCCTGACCATGCTTCAGTTTTTTGAGGGGCTCTCTGTCAGAAGTGAACTCCTCAGAGACCATCACCCTAAACTGTCCAACAGAACAGTGCATTCCTGTTGGTGCTTAACAGGTTTACTGGCTACTCCAAAGTGTAAATTACCCCATCAGTCCCTCTCCATTGTACTTTGCTTTGCTGCTTGGGAATAGAAAGGAGCAAAGAGTGGATTTTCCTGCACTCAGGCAGGTTACCAGCTTGTGCCCTGCAGTGTGAGAATTTATTGTCCTCATCATTTATAAGGTCACCAGAGTAGCAGGTGTGAGAGCAGGACTTCAGGTGAGGGGTATCTGCAGAAGTAGATAATCTATTGAGACACCAGTGCATCAGCCTGCAGCGTTAGAAAGGTGAGCGTGGATTTTGCTCCCAGTTTAATGCATCTAAAGCTGCCAGTCTATAAACATGTCAGTAAATTACTGTTTTACTCTGCTGGAGGTGGTGCTTGGAAACTGACAGAAGACAGAGAATACAATGGATCTCATAGAGTCAGATTTTGATGGTTTGCTTGACTTTGTCTAACCTGCTTTCAGCTGTTGAGTTCAGGAAGTTTTTGTTGTTGTTTATTTTTGCACTACACAGATAGGGAGACCATGATGGGGACTGCTTGCCAGATTTCAACCAGAGGTGCAAAGGCAGAGATGGGAGCAGAGCCAGGTCTGACTCTTAGGTCAAAAATCACCCTGGGAAGTCCATGGCCACCGAGAGGGCAGGCTAGTGGACAGGCAGCATCCCCCATGTCTGATCTGCACCTAGTGAAAGCAGCAAAAACTTCACACTGATTTCAGCAGTCAGTTCAGCAGGCAAAACTCTGCTCTCTTTTTGCAACACAGCTCTTGTTTTCCTCACTTTATTCTCCTTGGTAAATATCTTTGTTAGTTAAAGACAGTGCTGTTAGCTTCTGCAGAGAATAAAACCAGAGAGATAAAAAGAGCCTATTTTCCTCCACTGTGGGCATGACAATAAAAGAAGATGGAGAGAGGAAAATAAGAAACAGCATCCAGGGAAGAAAAATAGTATAAGTGGGATTAGGTTTTCTTCCATGGACAGTACAGGAAGGCATTTTCATTACCTACTGATAGCAGTGCACACTGTGCTGTAAAATCCCTTCAGCTGCAAAGCCAACCATCTCATGACCTTGTTTTCACAAAACCAACTACTTCTTCTTAAGAAGGGTCAAAGAAGGTGGCATTCAAGTTTAGTAGACACTGTACTGCTCATGTAAGAATTATTTTTTGAATGACAGTTTCTGAGGCACTTTTTAGCAGCACTGCTGTGCACCCCTAGAAAAGCCTCCTGTGACTGAACTGGTTCAGCCTCACAAAACAAATGGGCATGTGGTGGGGGCATGTTTTTTTGAGAAACTAACTTCCCAGGAAAGCAGCAGGGCAGGAAGGGAGGGAAGTGAGAGAACAAGAAATCCATCTAGGGAAAAGCAGTTTACTTATTTTATGGCACCTTATGTTTTCCAAACACAATGTAAGTATTTTAATTATGGGATCACCCCAGGGGTGGAGTGATGTGGCACATCCACCCACTCCGTTTAGCCATAGCCAAACTGTATTAGACTGGCTGCTTGCTGATTTCTCAGTAATTTCAAGCCAAGTGGTCCTGGGTCATATTACTTTGGGGCTTTTCTCGCAAGTCTCAGAGGTGCTACTGGAACCCAGCAGAGACCTCATTTGCAGTGTGAAGTGTTGGGTTCAGAGCTGCCAGCACAGCTCATGGGGCTGCTCCCAGTCTGTGCAACTTATTTGGATGTTCTGGGTCTAGCACTCATCAATCTAAAGCTCTCTTTGGACACAGTACTTTTGTACTAATTGAACAGAAGGCAAAAATGTGCTGTCACCTGCAGGTGGGAAGTGTTGATCTGTGTTTGTGCAGGGAAAGATTTATTTATTACATTGTTATCTGTAAGGGAGCACATACCTCATGGTGAAGTTATGGTACAACTCTGTCCTTGTCAGCCTGATTTTCACAGTGATGTTCTCTTTTGCTTAATGCTTCATCAGGTGAAGTACACATCAGAAGGCCAGTTAGATTTTCCACACAACAGTTCTCCTTTGGGCAATTCATTGCTTGCAGGGCATGGCAGAGAGGGAGGCAAAAGAAATCACACACGAGCATTTCAAGCACTCCTCAGATGGTCTTGTAAAACCCTTTCATATGTTGTGGTCTGCCTGCATCATGTCTCACCTTTCTCTTTTAGCTACAGCAACAGCCTGGGGTCTGGAGTGTATTTTCTGCAGGAACAGCCCTTAATTCAGCAGAAGATGAGCCTCACTCTGGCATTTTAGATGACAGTTTCCATGTCTCTGAGCAAATCTACACCTCACCCCAGTCCCTTCAAAAATAAAGGTCCTACAGAATTAGGGTCTTAATAAGCAGACCCTAATTCATAGGGGGAAGAGAATTTGATTGATAAATAATTAAAGGCTACTACTTGTTTCTATAGTACAATAGTATGCCACAGTTGAGAGCTAATGGAAATTCTTGCTATGGCCATGCAGGCATCCCTTCCTTAGGTCAGCTCTGACCCTTTCTCAGGCACAATCTCAATTCCTCTTCTGACAGAGATTCAGTTCTGTATGCAGCTGTGGCTTTGGGACTTTCCAAAGCCGTTGTCTGGGAATCTGGCAAAGCAGCAGAATGCAATTCACTTCATGTTACCTCTTGCTGAAACAGAAATAAAAGGGTTGCCTATCTGTTAAAGAAGTAAAAACCAAACCAAAACAAAAGTGGTACAGCTCTCTCAGGCTTCTTTTAGTGCTTGGTAGGAGGAGGGTAATCAGATCTCAGAGGATGGTGTGCCAGGAAGGAAATTTCTTCCCATGTGCAGTGTACAATCAGCCAGGTGCAATATGAGGAAGGGAGGTTCATCTTCCTCTGAAGCATAAGGTATTGGCTCCTGCCAGAGGCTGTGTACCAGAGATCTGATCAGATATGGCAAATTTTATGTTCCTGTGCACAGTGGGTAAGCTTTGTAGCAAGTCAAACAATGAGTCATCTCACGAGGGGGAAAGGAAAATAAAGCTTTTATCGCCCATTGGATTGGAGATAATCTCTCAACTTGGGTATAAACAGCTCTTCACTGTGCTGCCTTCTCTCCAGGGGAAGGAAGCTATTTTAAATTTGTGTGTAGAACAGATATTGAATTGTCATACCTCCCCAGCTCCTCTGCCTGGGCCCAATAAAGGTAGCAGGCAAAATGTCTTTGATAGTAATGTGGTTGGGCCTCTGTGGGTAAACACAATACCTAGGCTGTATAAGCTGTACAAGCTGGCTGGCAGAAAGGGAGTGCCAGATTCTCCTTGGCACCCTAGAAAATCTGTCCCCAAACCAAATATCCCTACTATTTTACTAAAAAATTGTCTACTCTCTTACATGGACGTAGTTCCAGTGGTAATATTTGCTTGCTATACAGGAAACACAGGCTAAAGCAGTGCCAAAGGGGGCACAGTCTTGGCCCTGGCTTTCCTCTCCATTGTGGGAATGGCACCTGCTCACAAAATGGCACCTGGAGAAGGGGTGGGCCTGTGTGAATGCACCTCTCTCCACAATACATGTGCTGATAATCACTCTGTTGCAGGGGCTGTATTCCAGCTGCCCTTCCTTACAGACCCCACCCCAGCCTCCTGGAGAGAAGCCATGGCTGTCTTGCCTTTGACAACTTTTCCTTTACATTATTCTTGATCCATGAATGTACAAGGGTGTGAAGAGAGAGCTTTCTGTAAAAGGAAGAGAGGATGTGCACACCAAGGATGGATGGCACCAAGGACTTTTCCTGCTGCTTGCTCTGCACATCAGAAGGAGCACGTGGAGGAAAATCCTTTTGCACAGTGGAAACCTGGAATGAAATAATGTCCTGTGAGCTTTCTTCAGGCTGCTGAGTCAGTTCTTGGTTCTCAGTATGTCTCAGATAAACCAAAGTGCCAAAGTATTTCGCAGTCCAGTGGTTGGAGTAATCCTATACCAACCTGACAGTGCTCTCCTTCCCTTTGCCCTGAGACTCTGTAGGTTATGCTGTGGGGAGCAAGGGGGGATTCAGTGATGTCTGCCTGTTCCTGTGCCTTGTCTCAGTTTGGTAACAGAACTGTGCTCTCTTTCTGCCCAGGTTTGCAGCCAGTTTACTGGAGCAGGGAAGATGTGGCCCAGTGGCTCCGGTGGGCAGAGAAGGAATTTTCCTTGAGGCCCATTGAGAGCAGCACCTTCGAGATGAACGGCAAAGCTCTGCTGCTCCTGACCAAAGAGGACTTTCGATACAGGTCCCCTCATTCAGGTGAGGATTACTCACAGAAGCTGTCATTGCAAAGAGAGAGAAAGCTGCAGCAAAAGCTGGAGAGGAGGAAATGGTCCCATTTGCTGAGGTGGACTGGGAAAGGGAGGGGAAAGGGAGGACAGAGACATTTGTATGAGACAAGGACTAAAAGGACAAAGAGAGAAGGAAATCCTGATACACCTGAGTTGTAGGTATATTTGAATGCAAATTCAAACCCAAACATCCAACCTGTTTATAGTTAAAACTCCCTGCAGAGCTCCCAGAAAGCGAGCTGCTCTGGCAGCATTTTGTGACTTCCAGCTCTTCCTGTAAAGGCTTATCTGTTCACAGACCCAACTCTAGCAGCAAGTCAATCAAGTACTCCAGCCTCTTTAAGCAGCCTGTATTAGCATTTTGCCTCCCAGTTGTCTTGGCTGAGGTGCTGCTAAAAGTGACTGCAAAACTCCTTCTTTGGGGACTTTGCCTCTGTTTAACAGCTCCTGTGGGTTTTGCTTTACTTTACCATATTCTCACATGTGCTGGAGTCCAGCCCTCAGCACAGCACAGACAGGTGTGTGAATCAGCCTGCCTATTGCTCAAATGATGTCTTCATTTATTCACAAAGGAGATTTAGAAATGTGTGTGTTGCCTGCCTGTATTTGTATCCCCCGTGGTCTGTCTGCTCCAGTTACACAGTCAGAGTAAGCCTCTGCCCTCCTTTGTCAGGGATGTTTAAATATGAGTTGTGGGCTTTGTTTTTTGTGACCACATGAGGTACTCCTGTTAAATAGAAAGGCTTGCACTTCAATCACTGTAGGTGATTAAAGAGCTTGGACCAAGTGGTGACAGAATTGCTGTGAGGAGGCTTCCAGTGCAAGGCTCACAAGGTGCAGGAGTACAGCTGGTGCTGCTGGGAACCAGCTGATAACCAAACTGTGGGGCTGATTCTGCACCAACCTACTTGGCCACTCTCCACAACCATCCTCCTGCAGAATCTGCCTCACAAACTGTTGCTTATGTTTAATATATATAAAGTTTTTTAAGGATGTGCTTCAAATCCAGGATGAATTTTGTATGGAAGAGCCCAAACATTAATGTCTGTTGTCACTGTAATACATTAGTGAGAACTAATGCCTAAAAAGTCTCCTTCTTTGTCCCTTTTTTTTTTTAATCTGGTACACCACTTGGTGTAAAAATTAGCCCTGCTTGAAGCAAAAAGAGTATTGAAAGCAGGGATGTGGGCAAGGACAGCAAGGGACACCTTTATATATGTTGTCTGCAACTCCCCTTACTGCTTGCAAGTTATGTTCTTGTGTGCTGTAAGGGCACTTGAAATAAGCAGGATTAAAAATCTTTCTAGGCTGGAAATAGAGTGTTCCCAGAGAAGAGCCTTTGACTTGCAAAATTTCACTTTATTCAGAAGGTTAAGCTGAATTTGGAATGAAATAACCCAGCTGAAGGCCTCCTCCCTTGCATTTTGTCTCTTCCTTCCCTCCAGGTATTCCCCACTGGTAATTAAACCTCATGGAGGTTATCTGAGTCAGTCCCTAAAAGTTGAGATAACTGTAGGTGAAGGGACATTAGCTCAGCATTTCCCAGAATTAACTGTACGTGAAATTGAAGAACTGTGAAATAATGTTTGCCACAGAGGCATTAAGTTTTTCCAGACTGAGGCCACATGAAAGCTGTATCATTTCCCCTGATGGTTAAAGCAGGAGAAAGGCATCACTCCCACAGTCTTGCCAAGAAAGGGGCTCACAGCTCCAACACTGTTCTGTTCAGGGCTGCCCAGGAGGGAGAGAGTACAAAACATTTTTCACCATCTTAACATTGCTGCATCTGGGTAATACAGAAATCTCAGCTATTTCATTAGGTAAAAAAAATCCCAAAAACACAGACAGCTTTATGGATGTTTTCACTAGTCTGTCCAGTTAATCAAAAGAAGCACAAATTTGCTACCTTATTGCTCTGAGTGTTACAGCACTAGTTATTTATGATGATGCCACTGTTGCATTCAGTGATGGAAATTATGTGGTAAAATCACTTTTTAGACTTTCATGTAACTGAGTGCTCAAGGCTTTGTTTTTAATTAGGCTTTCAGATATTGCAGTCACCTTTTAAAAATGCCCTAAAGTCACTGCTGAGACAGTAAAAGCAGCCTAGATGTTAAAAATAAAGGAAACAGAACTATGGAAAGCAGTATGACTTTAACTGTTTCACAGCAAGAAACTCAAGTTGCCCACAAATTAGAATATTGGCAATTTATACAGACAAGGTACAAGTGATACAATCTCATAGAAACTACTGAAAAAACCCCCATGTTTGAGAAAACTCTCCCAGAAAAAATCTAAGGTTTCCTAAATGAAGCTTCACTAATTTGGTTTACAGATAATATGTAATTGTTGCAGCCTGTTCCTCTGTAATATGAGCAGTGACAAACAAAAGAGCTGGCAGAATGAAAAGTCAAGAGACTTCCTAGCCTGTGATGTGCAATTTCACTTTGAAATGCACAACCAGTTACACCAGACCAAATGCACAAGTACCTTATGTGTTTGGTGTAGATGTTGGAATAAGGTCATCCATGCAAGATGAAATTTATAAAAAGCACAAAATAAGCAGTTAGTCCACTGATCTCCTGGATATTGTGGTGTTATGTTCCATTAAGGAAAGATACAGCAATGATGGTGCCAGGGAATGTTGTTCTGTTTTGCCACAGTCACACTCAGAGGTGTGATGTGCCTTTTTTCCCTTTCACAGGAGGACTTTGCATAGCAGTGAAATGCAGGATTTTACTGCTAGCATTTCTGGGTCTGAAAATAGCACCCAGGAGCCATGAATTCATGCATCAGATGGCTAAATGAGTCTTCTCATCAGTTATTTACATTTTCATTTCCTTTTTCCTGCTGTTTGTCTTTCAGGTGATGTTTTGTATGAACTCCTTCAGCAAATCCTGAAGCAAAGGAAAGCTCGGATGCTCTTCACACCCTTCTTCCACCCTGGGAACTCTATCCATGCTCAGCCAGAGGTCATATTGCACCAGAATCATGATGAAGGTAACTCTGTCTCATTCTTACAGGAGCTGCCTTTACAGAGCCAAATAGGAATTATGTCATTTTCTTGCCCCAAAGTTACTTAAATAAAGCTGTTCTGCTCTCTCTGACTCCACAGCTTTGGAACAATCAAATGGTCTAGTGAGTCAACAAGCCCTTCTCCATTTATCTCCTATTATTTTGTTCTGTTTCCAAAGCACCTTTAAAAGCTATGTCAGATACAGATTAAAAAGCAGAGCATTTTATTGACCCTATTGATTCATTTTTCCTCACTCCCAGTTAGGTAGACAAAGTTGCTTTGTGGACTTTTAGTATCCTGGAGATGCAGCTAAATGCAGTTGTTGGCAGGGCAAGGGAGGGCAGGCTCAGGGGGGAATATCCAGCTCCCAGTCACTTCACTGGCAGTCTGTCAGGACAGCATGCCAGAGCTCCTGGCACTGAGCCCATCACATGGCTCAGCTGTTGGCCTGGGTGAGCAATTCCTGGTGGGAGAAGTGGGCTTCTGCAGGTTTTCTCTCATTTTTACTATCAGAATTACTTGCTTAGTTCTAGTAGTGATGAAAAAAGTTCAGAGGTGATGAAAAAAGAATAGTTAAGTTTGTGGAATTGCTTATTTGGGCTTCTTCTACTGGAAAATGCAAGTGTGCTTCTTTTCACTGGAAAATTGAGGTTTTAATTTCTTTAAAAATACACATACTGAAGTACTTCTTGGATTTCTTGGGTATATCATAGAAAATATAAAACTCAAACATTTTCAGAAGTCCTTTCCACGAAAGTATCAGGCAGAAGAATATTTTTCAATTAAAAATGAATTCAGTTTTCAATTTAAAAATCGAGGAAAAAGTAGTGTTACTCCTTTTTTGAGTAAACAGGAGAAGAGAATATGAGTGAGTTAGGATGTCACCCTGGTCTCTGCTCACTGGAGAAAAGGTGTGCTTATCCTATTTGACATGAGTCTATTTCAGGATTCAACATGGGATTGCAAGAGAAGATTCAGGGGTGCTGTCAGACCTGTACAAGTTGCCTGTGGCCAGTCTGAGGTAGCCAGAGTCAAATGGCACCAGCAAAACCCTGAGACTGAGCCAAGAGCAGGACAGCAGCAGGTGGAAGAAGGACACTCCAAAGTGTTTCCACACAGCTGTGTAAATATTCCAGGTTAGCTGAGGTTCACTTGGCAGAGCTGAGCCAGAGACAGTTGCCCACTGTATTCAGACCATTAGCAAAATCTGTATTTTCCTCAAGCTTGGCCTTCACCCATGAGTGTTCCCACTCTAAATTTCAAACAGAAATACTAGCTGCTCTCTCAGACACTCCTACATTTAACATATGGAGCAACTTTGACTAGAGAGGATTTCACAGAGATAATCAGTTGGTTTCTCATGTGTGTCATTTAAAAAAATGTATTTTACAATCTAGTGATTAGGAAACAACTTCGATTTCTTCCTTACAATACTCTGGCTGCTGATAGCAGCACTGCTTTTCTCAGAGAACTCTGTGCTATTACTTAAAACTTCTCTTTATAATGACAAAAATTAGTTCTTGGTTTGCTGTGAGAGGAGCTTCAAAATAAGCAAAAGAAACTACAGCTTGCCTGCCACAAGACTGAGCAATCAAAAAACTCTATGCCAAAAATTTACAGGCAGGTGAATTTGTTTATTTTGACATTACTTCTTCTTCCTGTTTCACAAAGTCACTTGGGAGAAACTCTCACAATTGAGTTTTCATTTTGCCTCAGCAAAATACAACTTACTTACAAAAGGAGAATGAATGCAAGGAGCAGAACTTAACCCAGGCTAACTCACAGACAGTGACATTGGGGACAGATTTTACCCTGGCCCCATTTTGAGTGGTTAAACTTCACAGGTGATGTGTCTTTATTACAATCTCTCTTTACTGCAGTGATCTTTTCCATCTTCTGGCTCTTTTGCCTGTTTCCTAATGGATTATACTTATGATCCTGCTTTGAAATGCTTTCCCTCTAGTGGTTTCTTACTAGGCTTAAACAAAGGGGGTTTGGCTGTTAGAAATCAATTGACTGCAGTTCAGGATATTGGCTTGGAATGGGCTCTGTCCCTGCAGAGGGATGAGCAATGGAAAGTGAATTACCTTCATCTCCAGTGGTCCCTCTGACAGAGCTCTGAGTCACTGCATGGGATGCCATGCAGGAAGCTTTCACTGTCATTCCCTGCCCTTCTTTCAAGGCTAAGCAGAGTGCCAATCTTTGGGACTGTCATGCCAGCAATTGCTCACTCCCAAAGTGCAGCCCCACCCATCCCTGCATGGGTAGGTCAGCAAATTTCCTGGGAGGTGAATTTCCTTTCACAGCTTTGTCTTCAAGAAAAGACTGTTGCTCATTTGGAATGAAGATCCAGAGTGAATCCAGTGCTGCCTGAAATTATATACCATATGTGCTCAGCTTACAATCACCAGATGTGCCAAGGAACGAATGTGATGAGGATTTTATTCTGTTCAGGGTCATTTGTAGCAGTGCTGCTTAGAGCTGAGTTGGAATTGTTTTATGGCAAACAGCATCTTTGGCCATGAGGGGATTCTTTTGTTAAGTACTTTAAGAAAAAGATCTTGAAGGAAAGTGAACCATTAGTGTGTATCCATTTGTGGTGTTTCCTCTTCCTGCTTTTCCAAGAGTTCCTTGGTCTCTATTTTCTCTGTCCAGGTTCAGCATCACCATGGTTTGGAAGCAGACAGGTAGGAACACCTCTGTTTGGAGTTTCCCAGCTAATGTTTTCAGAGAGCTTGGTGAAAAGCACAGCAGAGCATTCCTTTCTACTTTAAAGTTAGGTGCTCTCTTCAGCCAAGGCATTAAATAAATAGGACAAACAACAGAATATTCTGGTCTGTATTTACAGGCCAAGAATGAGCCCAGTACATTTGAATGTACAGTGATGGGGGTGGATGGTCTCTAGAAGATAGGACGCAGTAAAATTTGGGATTTGATTTTCTTTCTGTTGTGGCAAAGAAAGGGGACTTTAAGGAAAGACAGCCACACAGGGTAGGTACAGTTGTAAATTTTCCCTCTTTGATCTTCATTTGGGCTATCCCACATTTGCTGGCCAGATTGTATTTAAAACTGTTTGGGTTTAAGCAAGAGCAATATATAGCTCTGGAGTTTCATGTCCTCCAGCTGTTCCACTGTATCTTGAACAGCCCTACAAGTGCATTTTTCTTGTCTGGGGCCACAGGTGTGTTTAATAAGTACTCTAGAGCAATGTAGGTTCTGCCTAAAATTCCAGGTTTTCCTGTAGCCTTTGGTGTTCTGGTACAGATGCTGTGTCACTGCCTGGCACTGCATTTTCTCAGGACCTGAGCTTTTCCTGTTCAGGTCTTGCCCTGAGTATGTGCTGATCCATCTCCTAATGCCTGCCTGGCTTCCAGAGCAGCAGGAGCCCTTCAGTCTTCACCTCAACAGGGTTTTCAAACAGGTATCACTGCCTTGGCAAGGCAGCAAGAGAATAATTTCATATTCAGAGAAAATGGAGTGAACAAACAGGCAGCCTCAAATAGGCAGCTACTTGTTTCAGTTGTTGACACGTACCCAGAAGTTTCCTTCTCTTATCACCCAAGGCTTTCAACAAACAGCACTGAAATTTGATCTTTGTTTTTTCTGATAAAAACCTGTTAGTCACTGTAGCTCTGGTGGTACTTTCCTCTTTGTCAGTAGTTTCCCAAGTCAAAATTGATGGCCTTAGCTAACCTGAAAGTCTACACTGGCAAAAATTTTAATTTAATGAGAGGATTGTTAGTGATTTATCTCCCTACTAGTGTTAAGCATCACAGCTGGGAAAGTGTGTTCATGCAAAAGTGTTGCTAGAAGTCCTCCTGCTGAAGACATGTAAGTGCTTATGTGGGGCATTCCATCAGTAGACACTACAGACTAAGTAGAAGAAGATGAAAATGTCCTTATGAAGATGTAACATGCTCTTTAAATTAAGGCAGGGATAAAGTAGAGGGTTTCATAAAGAGCTTCCTACCAGCTGGGCTTTTTAAACAACCCAGTTCATATTTCAGACTGAGTTATTCTTGACCTTGACCTAAGCCTCTACCATCTAAAACTTAATACCCAGTACTTTCCTGGAGACATTTTCCCTTTTTTTCTTTCCCTTCTGCCTTAAAGTGCTCATTATGGTAGTAAGAGCAATGACACAGAGAGGCATGAATGGCAGGGGAAGAATTTCAAAAAAATTGTGCAGAAACCCATTTTCTTCACAAGTATTCATTCAGCTCCTCAAAACGGAATTTCTCTTAGTGTGTTTCCCAAGGAACTGTTTTAACATGGTGGTGGAGGGAGATGGTTTTCACTGTTTTCATTCTGTGTAGAAATAATAACTATCTGCATTTATGCAGAACTTTACTGATCACACAAATAAAAAACATTTACAAGTCGTCAGCAGTAGATCCTACACCTCGATCACAACAGACAATCTGTATTTTGGGGCCGTTTTTTTCCTCCACAGATGGCTTTGTGCAGAGAACCCCGAGGCCATCTGCAGAAGCAGTCCACCACAACCCCCCAACCATTGAACTGTTGCATCGCTCGCGGTCGCCCATCACCAACAACCACCGTCCATCGCCAGACCCCGACCAGCGCCCGCTCAAGTCCCCCATGGACAGCACCCTGCGCCGCCTGTCCCCGGCCGACAGGATGCCAGGGACAAGGCACCAGCATGAGAACAACCAGCAGGAGCCCTATCCTCTCTCAGTGTCCCCAATAGAAAACAACCACTGCCCGCCTCCTTCCGAGGTGCTCCAGAAGCCCTCCAGCCCTCGCCAGGAGAACACCAGGGTCATCCAGCTGATGCCCAGCCCAATCATGCATCCTTTGATACTGAACCCCAGGCACTCCGATTTCAAACCACCGAGGTTGTCTGAGGATGGGCTGCACAGGGATGTGAAGCCCATCAACCTGTCCCACCGAGAAGAGTTAGCTTACATGAACCACATCATGGTGTCTGTCTCCCCTCCCGAGGACCACGCCATGCCCATCGGCAGGATAGCAGGTAAGGGACATTGTTCTACAGGCTACACCAGAGCTGGGGCTCTTCATTCATAACTAACCATGCTTTGTTTTAAGGGTTTCTTCTTTCCTTTTGCTACTCTGTGACATCAAGAGTTTACTGGCATTGTGCAAGTTTCACTACATCTGTGGCTTAGGCAGTACAGTATTAATAAATGAGTTTCATGACAGGTAAGCAGAGGTGCAGAATGACTTGTCTGTGACCACAGAATGTGTAATTGCTATTGAAACATTTGCATCCTGGCACTTGCTACCTCTCCACCCACTACCAATCCATTCATTTCCCAAGATACCTATCTCTGAAGCCTTGCTCTGCAACGAGAGAATTTTCCAAGAGTTCCATTCACATTAGTGTCCAGCCCTGTGGAAATGAAGAAACCCTCTGTCAGTGGCTTTTGAAATAATGCAGTGTCAAGGCCATTATGAAGCTGGCAGGACTAATGAAATACCACCTCAGAGTCCTACTTCATAGCCTTTCCTGGGCTCCTCACATCAGGACTGTCCCTTTTTACAGAAACGAGGTTGGCTTTGTCCCACACAAACCACAGGCATTGTCTCACTTTTGTTATCGTAAATAACTGACATCACAACCACTGAATCAGGAAGCTGAGGTTACAGAAAATGTTTCTTGTACTCCAAAGGGAACTGTAAACAGGGAGAGGGGGAAGAGGAATCCAACCACTTCAGAAATACGCTGAATACCCCAGTAACCAATTTCTTTTGAGAGATGCAAATGCACACCACACCCAGAAAGATTCCACGCAGTTGTGTCAGCAGTGACCTGATGTGATCCCCAGCTCCTGTGAGGTGTTACACTTGTCCACAGAGCTACAAACACCTTGTTCTTTTTTGTCCTTACATGCCTTAAATTTGTTACAGATGTGGTGCTGCCTCAGTTTTAATGAGGAAGATTTTCTGTTTTCTTAAGATTTGCCACTTTAAATTCCAAAGATACATATCTTACTATCTAGTCAAGATCAAGCACAGCAAGGACCATGATCCTTTCGCTAACAGAAGGATGAGTTACAGAAATTAATCCTTTGACATTTTTGCCAGGCTGACATTTGTCTCTCTCCTTTTGATTTTTATTACCCACAAAATTCTCAGCAAGTTAATAAATATGCTTAAAGTTATGGCAGAGAAAATACCCTACTGGTCTCATGACTGGAGATTTCCTTCCCAGAAAGTGTTATTGGGAGATCAAGGCAGTTAATTTTTATTTTCCAGAAGAAAACATTCTTTAAGAATAAACCCTAGTCTGAAATAATGTAAGAAATAATATGGAGAGTATGCGGTGGTGTAATTTTCCTACTTTACTCTTAGGAATTTTCTTACATGGTTGGGAATCTTTGGTTTCTGCACGTTGTGCAGTGGGTCCAGTGACACCAGCCCCAGTAATTCCCATATCCTATCTATCCCTATGTGGTTTGCAGTGCAACAGAGCCCAAGCCCTTGGAAATCTGGCCTAACACAGTTGCTTGGCAAGTATGTGTAGCCATGAAAAATGTTTTCCAAAAGCTAAACCTGTAGATTTAGGTGCTTTCACCTTCAGGCACATGTTTTGGCTGAGACCCACAAGCAAAGGTGGCATACCTCAAATAGCTGGTGAATTATTTAATGCCAGAAAAACCTGGAGTGTGTTCAAGCCTTTGGTTCAGGTGAGGGCAGTGTTTTATGGCCCAGGGTTGGGGAATTACAGAGCTCATGGTTAGATAGATTAGATTTCTGCTGATAAATTGGCCAGTGTACTTCCATCAGTGCCCAAGTCCTTTAATTGTAAAAGCTCACATGGCTCATTTGCTGCACAGGTACAAGCCACTGCTTCTCTGCTTGGATTGTAATGGCCCCTGAACTGTAGACACACCCTCCAAAGAGCTCACAGCTAATTTATAGGTGATAAAAACTGGATTACTACCAAGCATTTAGACAGCCCGTGCTTCGTGCCTGATGTTAACTTCACTGGAGCTGTTGAATTCAATACTTAGGCCCCCTGGAAAGAAAATAGCTTTCTACCTGCTTCCCACCCATCTCTCAGCTCTTGCCAATAAGTGTTTTATTTTTTATGTCATCATAAATGTGTTTTTCATCTCAGTGTCCTCACCTTTACTGCCATAGTTAAGATGGAAGTGCTTGACCAGCCATGCCTGCCACTTCAGTGTGAGAGAGACCATGAAAGGTGTGAGATGTGGCTCTGAAACTGCAAATGTACATCAGTGCAGATGAATTCTTCAAAGGGGCTTTTTAGAGATCACTGGCATTATCCATTTTCTTGATGAGGATGACTGATGGGCTGGGCAGTGAAAAGATTTACCAGTAGTCCAGTGCCAGAGCTGAGTACTCAACTGCTTACCTTGGTGAGAAGAGCCTTGACTTCCTATGGCTTAACCACTTGGATGCAGGTGATTTTCAGGGAGATGGTGATGAGGAGCTGCTAGGGAAGCCTGGTAGGCTGCTGACTAAAACCTTAGGCTGTGCTCCAGAACATCTTCTGTTCCCAGCTCAGATGTTTTATATTGTACAAAATTTTTCCCTGGACTTAAGACACCTAACAGCCTCATGAATCTTAGTTGTAGATTGAATGTGGTTTTAAATGCAGCATGCAATTACTTGGTGCTGAGAAAGAAAATAATGTTTTTGCTTGCTGCTATACGCAATGCTCTCTTTTCAGGAGGTCGATCAATAAAGCTCTGGACTTTCTGTCAGACAAAACAATGACCTCTACTCACTGGCTGACTAATCTTTCCTACCTTTTTATGTAATACCATTTTTCAAAATATTAATTTTACTGGTAAAGCACTTTCCCTTTTACAGCAAAGGATTTCAAGTTGAAGGTCTTATTATCTTTTCATCTGAGGCCATTTAACACTTTTCTAGCAAAGCCAGAGGCATAAAGTATCTTTATATTACTCATTAAGGTCACATATATTATTCATTATTGGCTAGAGTTGATTTTGAGAATAGTGGTTAGCTATCTTCTCAACACAATGTGCACAAGTCTTTTGCATAACTTTGTCAGAACTGGAGGTCATCATGTTGAGATGACCAAGAAGCAAGTTTGCATCCCCTGTAAATACACCAGGCAAGGGATAAACAAAGTAACTCAGGCATCAGTAGTCATCTACTTAACAGCATGTGAAAATATGAAAACTATTAAAAACTCCCCTCAAAGGGGGAGTTCAGCAGAGCAGTGTAATGGAGAGTTTTCCCTACTGGAACTGCTAATTTAAAGCTGCAACACTTTTGGTAGTCAAGTCCTAACTTGGACTCTAGCAAGCAGATTCTATATATGGCTTACTATTTCTCAGTAGTCAATCTTGGTTCCCCACAAACTATCTCCAAGGATATCTCTCCCTGTGGCATGAAAATAGATACCTTTTTTTCCTTTTTTCTTTTTTTCTTTCTTTTTTTTTTTTTTTTACACAATTGCAGTTTAAATCAAGATTAAATTAGCCCTTCTGCAGTTTGGAAATTCTACTCCCCGTGAACCTCAGACTGTGAAGGTTTTGTTATCAAGGATTTTAGGGCTTTGATATCTTGTAAAAGGTACTTCCCCAAGGTGCAAGAGGCAGTTATGGGACTATCCAACTATAACAGGATTGGTTTCATCCTAACCTTTATCACATAGAGGTTGTCTTAGAAACATCCAAATTAAGGTAATGACATGGTGGTATTTATCTCACTATTGATTTCTTAAAACTCACTAATACAATTCTAGATATTTCTTGTTAGGGGGAATACATTGCTGAGCAGGTCCCTGAGATTTCCAGCTCCCGATGTCTTTTTCTGTAGCAGCTCTAGGACTGAAAGACTTGTTCACTAATCCACAGCATGCTGAAATCTGAAGGCAGTTGAGTCCTGTGCCTGGTGTTATCTATTGGCTGCTCTTATCAGCTGGGTTACCTTAGCAACTGGGCTGTATCTGACTTTATGAGCTGCTGGATTTGTTTCTTCCCCTTCAGGAGTGTGAGGAAAAGCCAGGCAATGTTTAAACTGTTGGGAGCACATTGTCACTGTGTTGGTTAGGCCCATAAAGCCATGGACTGCAGTTGGAATGAGGATGGACAGGATTCCTGCCCTGCTGAAGTCGTGACAGGGGGCTGCCTCCAGACTTGCTCCTGGTTTACCTCAGCCTCTCACTGTGTCACACATCCTCAGAGTGCAGGGTGTAGCATGAGCCCCATGGACCTGTGGCAAGGCACGTGTAAGTGGCATCTCAATAAAAACAGTCTGATGGCCAAAACCAAAAATGCAGTCCCATGGTAAGAGCCCATCAGCCATGAATGACTCAATTCTGCTGAAATCTACAGAGCAGCACCTGGGATGGGTGTAGGCTCTGAGCATGGGGAGGTCTTCCAAAGGGGTTTGATTGTTTGGTGTGGGAATAGAGTTTGGAGGGGGAACACAATCATGGATTCTCCTCCTTTGTTGGAAAAAATTACTTCTGTGGGAGGGGGAAAGACAGGAAGGGACACTGGAATACCCCTTTCACAAATACAGTGCTTTAAAAAAGTGCAAATCAACTGGTATTTTTTTCTGTTTATACTCTGGAAAGTATAAATGAGGATAAGAAAAGCTCAGCTGACTGAGCTGTCAGATTTGTAGCAATAGACATTTAAACATGAGAAGACACCAAACTTCAAACCACTGCACCACAGCAGTGTCTCCTCACTACTTAGCTACTAGGACCAGAGCCCCAGTGCCCATGGCTGCTCCAGATGTGTCCATGGGACATTTACAACTGTGTCACATCATAGGATAATCTGGGGTTTTTTTTTACCACATTGGTTTATTATTGATAATGTGTTACAACACATTAGTTTCTTTTTCTTTCTGTACAAAACAGAGGCAGTTTGCTATGCAATGGCATATGCTGGATGGTAGGGAGGGAGGGAGGGTGGGAATGGAGGCACAGTTATGTCTCTGTAGTGAAGAGAGTAAAAACCAGCATCAAAGCACAACTTAGTTACAGGTTTTGTAACTGAT